AAGTCGTAAACAAAGTTATTATGTCCGATTGTGGAAAACGTAAAAATCTATTATATCCGACATCTACATTGTTATCTTATTTTTGATTGATAGCTTCAGAAATTCAGTTTTTTTTATTTGGATTTGGATTTGATTTAAAAGTGGATATATACTCATACTATAATGAACAATTGGTTAGTTTTTAAATGAAAAAAAGTTTGTAGAAAGCACTTCAAAATCACCATGCCTGTCCTTATCACGACAGAAGATGAATATTTGTCCATAATACAGTAATACATGAAAAGGTTGAATTATACTTGTGTATAAAACACATCTAGTTCATTTTTGCTGATACTTAGACATCGTATATTCTGAGTTAGTACACTAACATGTCAATAATGTGTGATGTAAAAAAATGTGGAGTAGTTGCTTCTGAGTCAGGGTGTTGTAGATTGAGTAATATCGTATTTGGTAGTGTCTCTGGTGAAGAGTGTATCTGTAATGCAAGTAGTGTTTCACTTTGTTTGAAGGTGGTTGACAATGTTTCGTGGTGTATTTCATCAGTTCGGACTTCCATNAAACAAATCTGCCTCGAATTTTTCAAAAAATGTGTAACTTTTTGTACTTTTCGAACAAATAGTGGGCCCCTTTCGTGTTTAGCCAACCTGCAGCTTTGTTGTATATTCTTGGTGGGTTCAAAAACCGTTTCGATATTGTGTTTCCCCAAGAGAAACACAATATGTCTGTGTCCCTAGGGATATAAGCTATAAGACCACTTGAACGTTCAACACCCAAGCAGCCGATAGCATTCCTAGATGTACTAATCGAACGATTGTTCTAGACTAACCCACGAAGTGAATCGAAAACCCACGCACATGGATAAGTACCTGCATGTACTATCGAACCATCATCCTAGTCCAAAGGGAGGAGTCATCTCCACTCTAACGGAACGAGCTCAAAGAATATGTGGACTAGAACATTCAGAGGAGATCGAATGGAAACAGTGTACCCGATATCAAAAAACAATCAAACTGAAGAGTTATACGGCACAAAACGGAAAGAAAGCTCAGATGGTTGCACGCGCGTATCTATCTTATATCATTAGGGTCACAGACAAATTTGGAAAACTCTTGGGGAAACACAATATTGAAACGGTTTTCAAACCTACCAAGAAGATGTGCAAAGCCTCAGGTCGGCTCAAGACAAAAGGGACCCGCTATCAGCAGCAGGGGTGCATCCCATACCGTGCACATGTGTGAAGGTATACATCGAAACCACCAAAAGATCCTTGGTAACAAGACTGAATGAAGGAGCATGGAAGAAACTGCAGATTAAACCAAATAGACAAATCATCACTCGGTAGGGTAAACCACAGGATTCTGTTCCAAAACCAGGGATAACACAGCCGACTGGTACGGGAGGCAATAGAAATCCAGGAAGAAAACGGTCAACGAAAGTTATTGAAAATTTACTGAATCCAGGTACAGGTAGCATTACACCAGACTACCTGAATCAAACACGCTTTAGGTAATTTACCCAAGCCAGGAAAACTATCTGAGGAGTCAACATAAATACGCATTACGCAGCCTAATATCCACGGCCTTCAAACCTGGAAAATAGTTACACTAAAAACACCGGCGCGAAAGCCTTAACCATTTTGTCAAACTGTGTAAAACTCAAGCAATGCTCAACTGAATCTGCAGCGACAGGATTATATTTTCATTTTTGTCGAAAATGTATAAACAAAAACAAGATTTTAGAAGTTGGCACCGATATTAGAAGTATACTTTTCTGACATCAAAATAGATATTCTAGTGAGAATGGAACAATTCGTGGACACAACACTTCAAAAAAGGGAAAAACCGGGGACACGTCAGAACAGTACACTCAAGTGCAAAGATGGGCAACTCAAGATCTATTAACTGAGACCACACATGTGCGGCTGGCTCCTGCTGTTAGCACCGAGCATTTGTATTCCTTTCTTTTGGTAATCAAGTGTTGCCCTCCTTACACTTGGCTGCACCATACTGATGATGGGCCAAAAGCCCGAAATACGTGTCTATGCTTTGCATGCCACTTTTTTGAGTGCTATGTCCGATTATTAACTTCTGTATCTATATCAAGACACTCAATAACGTTAAAAGGTAAGACCTCGTTAGTCCTCAGCTCGCACAAGTTTCGACTCCTGAGGTTTGTCTTTAACAATATAAAAATAAGAAAAAAATGCCAAGGGTGTCACCCGTTCATTTTCGCAGATTCAAACTGAGGACCCTCCAGTTCCTTTTGGATTTCCTTCTTAAAGACGAATCACTTGGCGATTGAAACACGTGTCGAGGTGTTAATATCAACGGTTTGGCGTTGGGATAAAACTCCACTAATATTCCTTCTCAAGGTACTAGTTTTCCACCAAATGTCACAAATATGTTTATAATGCACAAGAAAACATGAAAACTACTGCAACATCAGATCCAACAAAGAAAAATACCAAAACTTGAATGAAACAATTACTTTCAATTCTTCGTGAACCGTTGGCTACTCCATTCAAACCAATATTCAGTTAAAACTTCGAAAAACCGGTTTTTTATCCCCTGGCATTTCACATTTTTTGTGGAGTGCGTAGGATGTTTTGCCTGCCGAACTTTCTACAATATTCAACTGTCAGTGGGCAACTAAAAATTCATTTCATTTATTGGATTCATTTTTTTATAACACTAAACACAGACGACGAG